GCATTTACCGGCCGTAGAAGCGATCTGACTACAAAGCCGACAGTCGGCTTTACAAATTTAAACAGAGTCTGTTTAAACGGGCCCGATGCAAATGACTTAAACTGTACATCACTGATCATAAAGGGGTTAATATTATGGGACAAAGTTTTTATGAAATAATGTGTTTATTTGATCAGCAAATACAGTTTATGGATCTAAACTCAATAAGCTATTTTAAACAATTCCTTACACAGTGCATGTACATAATATACATGAATCAGTTAAATCGGCTATTCACATAATTAATGTTGGAGCTACTAAAAACAACATTAATCTCTCATTTTTTTATTGTGGTCTCTATTTGTTGGATTTCTAATTACATTCAATTTAAATTATATGTTTCTACTTTTATTTCTATTTTAGCTCTATAATGAAGAGATTTTGGATCTTTTTGATGTTTGCCGCGACCCTGAGTCTCGACATAGAAAATCCAACATACGGATTCATGAAGATGCTAGTGGAGGCATTTATGTCAGTGGAGCGAGCACTCGTAGTGTCATTTCTGAGGCTGAGGTGCATTTTTTCTTTCTTCTGTTGTACAAAGAGGGAATCACCTAAAACAGTAACAAGGCACAGGAAATGTCTAACTAAATACAGTGTACTTAGTATATACAGCTAAAACTAATATGACAACTGCACTAAGGTAACACCGTGTTTAAAAAATGAGTTATGATATGGCTGCTGACAGATTATTGAATTGACACCTGTCTCCCTGCAGTATCTCCGATATATAAAATATTTTCACTGAAAGTTACAGTTCAGATCCTTTTTGTAACTTCTGCAGACTGATCCCCTCTATTGGTACTGTCATATGTTGGTTTATATAGTTACAGATCTTGGAATTGGTAGTAACAATAAGGGTTACTACTGATGGGGTTGTGCCTCTGGAGGATCTTTGTTTTGTTCCATCATGATGTTTAACCCTTTTGCTGCCAAGCCCTCGAACGCTTTCAACCTCAGCTGGCCACACCATTTTTGCAATTTTACTCATCATCTTGATTTTCTACTGCTGCGTTGCTAGCGTTTGGAAAAGACCCCCCAAACTATATATTTTGTGGAAGCACAGGCCCGGTAGAATAAAAAGATGGTGCTACTATTTGTGTAGGTCCTTTGATAATTGTGCAAATGTTTGTCAAGTCAATATTAAACCGATAAAATGTCACAATTAAATTGATAAAAGCACACTAAAATCAGTATAAGTGCACAAAAATATACTTTTCCGGCTATATCTAAAAGATAAAACTGTATTGAGTTAATAAATAACGAATATTTGTAAATGTAAAATAGTGCCTTTTTGCGAAACGGTAAAAAAATTAAGTACGGTAACACAAAACTGTAAATAAGCGACTTATGTTAAAAATCGTTTGTGCACTGTGTTGGTGTGTGTGTTGTGATAAAATTATACAGGTGTACATTTAATTGCAACACAGTGTTTCACAACGCACGGCAATGCATCACCACGCTTTGCAATGCGCTACCACCCAGTAAAATTAATGTTATTTTAAAAAGAAAAAAAATCAAGCACTGCAATGCGTTCTAACAGCGCACAGATGACAGAGCTGCAGGCCAAGGGTGAAAGTGACAGCCGGCGGCTCGGTTCTTATCACCGCTTGAGCGGCTTCCTCCTCTGCCCCGCCACTGGCCATTTCTTCTCAGATCCCCGCTGCCTCAGCCCATCAAAGGCGGGGGAGAGCAGCGGGGATCCGAGGAGAAATAGATCCCATTTCATGTTCTCTAAAGTGACCATGAGCTTATAGCAAAATGGTAAAAGCCACTAACGTAAGGCTTTACTGATGTGGCCAGCTGGAAGCAGTTGTGTTTTGCCGTAAGCCTTAGGCTGGTGGCAGCGAAAGGGTTAAAGCTGGCCTTGGTAATAGTAGCACAGACATCCAGTATATCTCTTAGACATAACCTATGAATCTCAGCAGGGTGGCATTTCCTCAAGCGGAGACTGAAGGCGCTGGAGATTTCCCTCTTCTGTTCTGTACAAACAAATGTGCATTTTCCCAGGGCTTTTATAAAACATATGTGTCATTATTCATACCTCCCAATTTTTTGAGATGGGATAAACCCCCAAGGCCCGTACACACCTTGGCATTTTGTTGCAGGTAACTGTGCGCACTGAAATGCGCAAGACAAGAAATCCCATTTTTTTCTATAGCCCCTGTTCACACCTGAGCGTAGCATCGTGCGTAGAAAATCGCCTGTCGCTCAGAAAAGTACCTGAGCTTCTTTTTGGCAGACTACGGCGCGTTTTGTTCCCATGGACTTAATAGGAAATACTTGGAAACGCGCGATACAATTTTTGTAAATTTTTTTGCAATAATTTGTTGCGTGTTTGCTTATTTACATCAATTTGTCACACTTCGTAAACACGCAGCGAAAATGCTGTCGCCTAGGTGTGAATGTAGCCTTAGTGCAAAGTGTTTAGGCAAAAGACACACCCCCTGCCAAACTTCCGGTTAAGTAGACTATAAAGAAAAAGTAAGAAAAAACTGATTGGCTAAACTCACAAGTGCTTATTTTATCACAATGTTTCCTTTTTACTGGCTTTGTAAAATAATAATGTGATAATAAAAAAGGTCTATGTGAAAGGTTTAGTGTAGTGTAACACTCTTGGTAGGCAAGTATTGCATTTATTATAGAGGTCTATACATCTGTTGAATAAGAGGGACAGCTGAGAAGGAAGATAGACACTGGGATTTGGTACCAAAAGAGGGACATTTATTCCAAATGAGAGACAGTTGGGAGGTAGGCATTAAAGAGAAATTCCACCCTTTAACATAAAACAATAAATGCACACTTCTTGTGCCAATATTTTTTTTTTTGCATTGGAGCCAGTAAATTATTGCAACTGCAATCAGTGCAGACACTTTCTCCCGATCATGTCCATACCTCGATACAGACATTCACTAACACAGACTGGAAGAAGAATGAATGGACTATAACTGCGGTGATGTCACCACACTTCTATTCCATTGAAAACTGGCTCATGAGACTTCTAATATCTCTATTCACGGATCCTGAAATTCTCAAAGGATCCGTGAATGAATGACACAGCTGTGTGGGTGGAGCCACGCACAGCCACGCCAAATTAAAAAATGAACATAGGCCTGCGTTGAGAAGAGCTTTGAGATTGGGGGGGGTCTGATCATGTTTCATTATACACCCTCAGTGTAACGTGAAGCATGGTCAGGAAGGTAAATTTCACCTTTAATTACAGATAACAGATACACACTTGACTGACTGTTGGCTGTTGATATTAAATGAGTGGAGATGCAGTTTTGAGATGCTTTATAGTGCCTTAGCTGTGAGATAACAGCACATTCTCTGATCTGAACGGTCCACACTATGAGACAGATTTTCATTCCTAAAAACTAGTTTGTAAACTCAGAGAGAAATAAATCTCAAGAGGGCAAATTCTGGCTATCCGGATATTTGCGTTCCTGGGCTACACACGTTCCAAAAACAGCAGCTGCTTCAGTATGTCCTATTTTAGCAGTATGATCTGCATTATGCATTGGGTGTTATACAGAGGAACTTCTCTTTTACTATTACAAGTAGGCTATACCACCCTTATTGTATTGTAATGTAAAATGTTATAAAATCTTGTCTTTTAAATCATTATTCAACTGTTCTATGATATTTTGTATCAGAAGGAGACTGACACACACACACATTTATAGTAAAACATATTATGTTCAGAGATGACGCTCTGGTCATATTTTTTCAGCTGCTACAATTGCTAAAGGAAGGTGCCCTCTCCCGTACCACTGCCAGCACCCAAATGAACTCTCAGAGCTCCCGCTCTCATGCAATATTCTCTGTCCATGTACACCAAACCCGAGTTTCTGAATCCTGCCCGGTAAGTACGAAATTTTTGTTGTCTGTTTTTGTGGTACTTTTGCTTTTGTTTTATGCATCCTTCATACAAGACACCGGTCTCTAATGCATCAACTAAGCAGATGTAGCAACATGTTACTATTAAATTTGAACTTATTCTTCTAGTTATCTAGCAGATTCGGAGGGTCTCTCAGCAAGGGCAGATGCTGAGGGTCTCAGCAGGGGCAGATTCAGAGGTCTCTCAGCAGGTGCAGATGCAGAGGGTCTCAGCAGGGGCAGATGCGGAAGGTCTCAGCAGGGGCAGATGCGGAAGGTCTCAGCAGGGGCAGATGCGGAAGGTCTCAGCAGTGGCAGATTCAGAGGATCACAGCAGGGCAGATGCGGAGGATCAGTAGGGCAGATGTGAAGGATCAACAGGGGCAGATGCCGAAGATTGGCAGAGGCAGATGCGGAGGATCAATTAGGCAGATCCAAAGAATCAGCAGGGCATATGTGGAGGATCAGTAGGGGCAGATGCAGAGGATCAACAGGTGCAGATACAGAGGATAATGGGGGGCAGATGTGCAGCATCAGTATGGCAAATGTGGAGGAACAGTAGGGTCAGATGTTCAGGATCAGTAGGGGCAGATGTTCAGGATCAGTAGGGGCAGATGTTCAGGATCAGTAGGGGCAGATGTGCAGGATCAACAGGCAGATGCGGAGGATCAACGGGGCAAATGCAGAGGATAATTGGAGGCAGATGTGCAGCATCAGTAGGGCAAATGTGGAGGAACAGTAGGGGCAGATGTGCAGGATCAATAGGTGCAGATGTGCAGGATCAACAGGCAGATACGGAGGATCAACAGGGGCAGATGTGGAGGATCAGTATGGGCAGATGGGGAGGATCACCAGTGATATTTGGGGGTGTACAGGGACAGTGCTGGGACTTGTAGTTCCCATAGTGATATTCAGGGGGAGTGCAGGGAACATTCCTGGTCCTGACCGGGCATCCCTGTGCCCTGGGCCCCATAGCAACCGCCTGGGTAGTTCCGCCACTGAACAGTATATATCTCGGAAAGCTCTACATTTTTAACATTAAACAACAGTTCATGAGCTTTGGTAATTGACCCTTCAGGCAGGAGGAAACATTTCCTGTGTCCTCACTGAGCAAACTTAACCCAGGAAACAGATGCTGACCCTAGATAATGCATAAATAAAATGGTGCATTCCTTCTGTTGAGAAAAAGAGATGAAGGCAGTTTCACGGAGCGTACTGTGATCTTTGCAGAGGTAATACATTTCTGAAAGTGTTAATCATTTACATTATTCAGTATGGATGCACTTAACAAAAAGATAAGGACATGCTTCTGATGAAACACTGTAAGCTTTCTGCTGAGCTTAAAGAAGAACGCCAGTGGGAAAAAAGTATTAACCCTTGCAGTGGGGTTAAGTATTAACCCAGCACTGCAAGAGTTCAGTGATAAAAAAAAAAGTTATACCAGACCATCCGAGCCGGCTTGTTCTTAGATTGTTGTCTCGAGCGTCTCTCCCCCTCTGCTGCAACGGCTCAGGGATCCTCGTATCATCACGCTCTATACACTGTGCATAGACATAGAGGAGCAGTCTATCCATGCAGTGGAAGAGGAGACACACTTCACTGATCATTGAATCAGGGAGCTGGCTCGGATAGTCTGATGAGTATAACGTTTATTTTTTTTTTAGCACCTAGACAAAAACGACCAGTTACCCCTTGCAGTTCGGGGGGGGGGACGGTAGCCCCACAGCAAGGGTTAATAATATTTTTCCTGGAATTCTTCTTTACAGAGACTAGATGTTTATAGAACTCCAATGAAACATCACATAGCAGTAACAAGGTTATAAGGTTTTTATTAGACAAAGGGAACTGAAAAGCAAACTGCTTGCTTTACTGTCTATATGTTGCACACATATAATAAAAACAGTTTTAAAGAATAAACTTTAAAAAAAAACATTACAAATGACAGAAAACCATCAATGTTAATTTTATCTAAATCTTTGCTTCACAGGCAGATGCACCTTCTGTGGAGTATGAAACCCTCACTGCAAAGTTTCATTTTGTGGACTTAGCTGGCTCTGAGCGTTTAAAGAGGACAGGAGCAACTGGAGAGAGAGCAAGGGAAGGGATCTCTATCAATTGTGGCCTGGTAAGAGTGTTTGTACTGTGTACCGCTACAAGCTTAAAGACTATGGAAAGTGTTGGTTGCTGGTTAGTAACCAATAATTCTACAGATAGAAAAATCAATTATATCCACATAAAACAATTTGCTGTTATTACCTCAATTTATACCCCTCGCATTTCATAAATACTGTTCATTATCATATGGAGATGCCACTAATATGTGAGAATTGTTATGACTAGGTATGCACCAATACCGATACTAGTACTTGCCCAAATGCTCGGATGCCTACCCCGATACCCGAACTTCTGGTATCAGAAAGCCAGGCAGCTTGTAGTGACTGCGTCTAATGGCAGCGTGTAGTGAGCCATTACACACTGCCCGACTTCCTGATTGGCTGGGAAGCCGGCTCCATGCTCCCTCGTCACTTAGTGACGAGGGAGCATGGAGCCGACCAATCAGGAAGCCGGGCAGCGTGTAATGACTCGCTGCCTGGCCTCCTGATTGGTCAGGAAGATGGCCAATGAAGAAGCCGGACTAAAAGCCAAAAAGCTGGCTTCATGCTCCCTCGTCACCTGGTGACAAGGGAGCATGGAGCCGGCTTCATGGCCAATCAGGAAGCCGGGGCGACATGTAATGAATTGCCGCCTGGCTTCCTGGTTTGTCGAGAAGCTGGCCAATCAGGAAGCCAGGCGGCCATAGGTTGGACTTGATGGACTTATGTCTTTATTCAACCTCAAATACTATGCAACTATGTAAGTCATTACCCACGCCCCAGCTTCCTGATTGGCCAGAAAGCTGGCTCAATGCTTCCTCGTCACCTGATGACGAGGAAGCATGGAGGCGGCTTCCCTGCTAATCGGGAAACCAGGTGGCGAGTCATTACACGCTGCCTGGCTTCCTTAATGGGACTTCCGGTATCCGTATTCGGTATAGGCGAGTACTGAAAAAAAAATATCGCCACTCGTACTCAATAGCGAAAAAACGGTATCGGTGCATCCCTAGTGATGTCTAGAGTTCCTTATTTCATTTAAAGGTAAACCTGTGTACCACCACATGATTTTATCCAGTCTGACATATAAAGAATACTACTAATGCTGGAATGATACTTACTTTTAAGAGATCCAATTTCCCAGTCCTGAGGGCTGCTCTACAACACATAGATTCGGAGGGAAGTATTTTGCTTGCTAAAGCAAATTGGACCATACTTTACAAGTAACTGTTACAAAAACCTATATAATTGTGTATGGCTAAACTAGACCACCAACCAGTCCCCTTGAAGACAGCCAGGGTTGCTTAGGACACTGACATGTTATAAATGTTCTAACGAAATTATATTATAAATAGATTATAAAACAAAACCAACTCACTAAATTTGGAGAACAGAGTAAAATGCATTGGTATAAAAATGTTGATTTCGGTTTGCATTTTGTAACTGTAACCTTTGCATCTGATGGGTTGCAATGACTGGTCAGCCCCATGAAGTGAAGTACAGAAATTGCAGTGTCCCTTTGTCTTCCTATAGCTTGCACTGGGGAATGTAATCAGCGCTTTGGGAGATCAGAGTAAGAAGGTTCTTCATGTTCCATACAGAGATTCAAAACTAACCCGACTTCTGCAAGATTCATTGGGAGGTAACAGGTAATTTAGCTTACCTTCCAACTGCACTCTTTTTTTGTTTGCTAATTTAGCTGTCTAAGTAATGTGCTAAAATCTTTCCTTACTATAATCAGGGTGGCTTTGATTTAAATCAAGTCAATTTAAATCATGATTTAAATCACTAGTAAAAAGTCTTGATTTAAATCATAATTTTTAAAGAGCAACTCATCTCTTTCCCTCAGCGGCTCCTCCTCTGACCCGCTGTTGACTCACCGACAGTCCCATTCCTTTAATGGGACGGCTGGTGATGCGGCAGTGACACAACAAGGTGAGGGACATGGCGGACAGCAGGTGAGTGCCCGCTAAGTGCTCTTTGTAAGAATTCATTCTTGCTGGTAGTAAGAATCTTTAATATTATTATTTGCAAACAAAATGAAGGTTTCCTATTTTAGAATAATAAGCTGTTACAGTTTGTAGTGTACATAGATTTGCAAAACAATGGGATACAGGAATATTCCTTTTTTTTTAATGATTTATCTCATGGTTACTTACTGTGAAATTCTGTGAATGCATCAATCCAGTGCATGTTATCTCAGCTTGCAGAGCTTGGATTCATTGAATGAGTTTACCAAAAACTTAAATATTGCAGAATATAACGCCTCATGCTACATAACTAAGCTCCATTTCATGCTGAATAAACTAAATTATTAATGTATCTTAAATAGAAAACTATCTTTAGATATATTTTTACTCCAAAAGCATTTTATTAAAATAAATTTGATTAAAAAAAAAAATCAGATGTAAATCAAACATTTTTTTTTTTTAAATCATCAATTTTTATCCACCCTGACTGTAATTCAGTCAGCTGTAGGGAATGCAGTTCTTGGAAGCTAACATGCTGCTAATGAATGAATGTCAATAATATCTATGACTTGAGGTTGTTATACAGGTTTAACAAATGTGTACAGGGAATGAACCAAAGCATAAGCAGCATTTCTTTGCATTCTACTACAATTAATAATTTGGTAAGGTATGATATTGATTTCCCAAGTGTCATTACTTCTGTAAATGTGCAAACACCACCTGTGAACATTGGCTTTACTAGCCCTAACATAAAAGACTGTACACTTACATATTCCAATATGTAAAAAATGTTGGCACCAGACCAAATCTGTTTCTAGGTATTTGAGAAGTAGATGCTCACCTATAGTACTACTAGCTGGAGAGAACTACAAAATGGAGCAAGAAGTTGAAAAGCTAAATGTACAATGTGTGCACATGTGTAATGATATACCTTATTTTTCTCTTCAATGGTTTCTCCATCCAGTCAGACCATGATGATAGCCTGTGTCTCTCCATCCGATCGCGATTTTATGGAAACATTAAATACCTTAAAGTATGCCAACCGTGCACGTAACATCAAGAATCGTGTGACAGCTAATCAGGAGCAGAGTGGTCAGCAGGTTCAGGCTCTAAGGGCAGAGCTGGCTCGGCTACGCCTAGAACTGCAGGAGTACAAAACTGTAAGTTGGCTTACATAATGGATTCATTTTATAACGCAGTCCAGTTTTGTACAAACCATATTTACAGTTATCAGCAAGGAGCACCTTAGATTAGGTATAATAAAGTTCAGTTCATTTTTGTTAACTCTAATCACAGAATAAACAAAATTTAATAAATTATGTGAAGTAATTGAATAGAGGTGTAGTGAAGGACTTTCCTGAACTTTTTTGTTGAGTACAAGTTTAGAAGGGACAGAGCAGGCTGCAGTAGACCTCCATCTAGTAGCTTGGAAAAGAAAGGATGGAGCAGAAGAGGGGAGAGGATTGCTTTGCTGCTGTGCCTGTGTGTTTGTGGAGACACACACCGCTTACTAGCACACACAGGGGTGGTTCCATAGGACCCTGCAAGGGGAAGAACCACCCTAAGAGCCTGTTCACACAATGCAGTGCGTTTATCGCACAGAACATACTGGATAGCATTAACAAACCTCCCAACGTTCTGGGGTGGGAGGGGGCGTGGTGGTGCCATTCATTTCAACGGCAACGGAGACACGCCTCCCGCCTGCACTGCGATCGCCCACACTGGAATGCATTGTCCACGCCCTCTCCTGTACCAGAACACAGGGAGGCTTTGTTTATGTGATCCAGTGTGTTCATCCCATGGGACTGTGCGATGAACGTTCTGGATGGTGTGAACGGGTCCTAAAAGAGGAAATCAGGGCCAGTGCTCGGGGACCAGGTAATTCTGCAGGAAACTAATAGGGTTATTCACAAAAGGGTGTAGAGTTTAGGGAAGACAGGAGACGTGAACAATCTAGGACAACATAGCTGAACTGAAAAGTGTAGTGAACAAGGAGAATTTTTCCAAATCAGCTGTGTTGTCCTAGATTGTTCACTTCTCCTGTCTTCTCCAAACTCTTCACTCTTTTGTGAATTGCCCTGTAAAACCTTTAAACAAGGAGCATCATCCAGTGAAAGTGATTTAATCAGCATTTGAATTAGATTAAAAACCTTATGACTTTAATATCACTTTAAAATAACAACATTTACTAGGTTGTTTTACAGCTAAATACATTTATGCAGAATTGTTAACTAAAGCCAGAATGTTTCTTTTAGTTTTGGATGTAGTAGGGAATGTAAAATCCATCAGGTTTGATTTTTCATCTATTCAATAGATGAAAAGGAACATTTAACATAATTTCATGTTCTGTAGACACAACAGGGAGTGAGAGAAAATCTCTCAAAAGTAGGGGAAATGCCTTCAGACAATTGTCACCCGAATAAATTTCCCCATTAATATTTCCCCTTAATGTCTTGGTGCAACTTAACATTTTGGTTTCTCCCTCAGTTATAATCCCAGTAACAATGGTCACTAGGACAAATCAAGAGTGCGTATCTCCTTATTAGGTACACAGACAACAAGAACGACCTGACAGAGATTGGTAACGCTCACCACTCTATTCAAAATTAAAATAAGTGATTTGGATTTAAATATACTTTCTTTGTAGGAGGAAAGAGTAGAGGATGTAAACACAGAATGTAACGCAAATGGTGATTATTATGAAAATGTGGGTAGACAGCTAATGACACAGAAAAGAGTGGAAGATGTTAACACAGGAAGCTAAACAAACAGCTAGTAGTGCACATGGGCTTACAATACTAGGTGCAACGAAAACCAGAAAATACAATCATTTATAGGCGCGTGCTAAATCATAGTAGCAGGACTGGGCAAGCTACTAACAAGGCAGGATCACAGTGAATCCAGATGGTCAGAGAATACCACATGGTAATTACCTGAATTACTAAGGCAACCACCTGCTGGAAAGAGGTATAGAAAGTCTCCCAGCAGCCAGGTGCAGGTGTTAAAGAAGAACTCCAGGCAGAGGCGGCTCTTTAATGCTGAATCCTCTTTGGTGGGTGTCAGGAAATAATGAGAATACATAGTACTGTCACTTTGTTATGGAAATTCGGTTTCTTATCCTGCTGCATTCTTGTATCAGTCTTACTGCAATCTTCCATCTGCCTCTGCTGAGATCTTCCATCAATCCTGCTGCGATCCTGCATTAGTTCTGCTGCGATCATCGATCTGCCCCTGCTGCGATCATCGATCTGCCCCTGCTGCGATCTTCAATCTGCCCCTGCTGCGATCTTCAATCTGCCCCTGCTGAGATCCTCCATCTGCCCCTGCTGAGATCCTCCGTCTGCCCCTGCTGCGATCTTCCATCAGCCTCGTTGAGACCCTTCATCTGCCCATGCTGCAATCCTCCATCTGCCCCTGCTGCAGTCCTCTATCAGCCCTTCTGTGAACCTCCATCTGCCCCTGCAAAGTCCTTGGCCAAAGATGCAGTCTTTCATCTGGCCACGCTCAGCTCACACACTGCATGCGAACCTCCATGCCTTTGCTCTGCACGGCTTCACATGCAGTGTGTCACAAAATCTAGAGCCGCCTCTGACTCTGAGCAAATAAAATCTTAACCCTTGCAATGGGGCCTTCACTGCACTGCAAGGGGTAGGTGCTTGTTTTGTCTAGAGAGTTAAAAAAAAAGTTATACTCACCTGAGCGTTGATCCCAGCTGGCTGTTAGTCCAGTCCGTTTAGTCTTGCTCCAGCGACCTATGTTCTAGTCAGCGGCGTATCAAGGGTATGGCACATATGGCACATGCTCTGGGTGCCACTCAGTGGGTCAGCAAAAGTTTGCTGACCCATGGAGACAGCTGACTTTTTGTCTATCCCCCACCCCTCTCTAATACACATCTCCCTGTCCAGCTCTTATAGCAACCAGAGGCGCTCTGACTGGCATCCCAACCAGCCCCTGGCAGGACACCAGCGAGCGCACCCCTGGTTGCTAAGAGCTGGGTGGGGAGATATGTATCCAACAGTCATTTGCACAATCTGAACCTACCTTGCCAGCTCTTAGCAACCTGTGACACTCTGGTCAGTGTTCCACCCAGCTCCTGGCAACCAGTGAAACCAGTGGTGCAATTTGTTGTAGATACAGAACGTGGAGGACTCATGGAGGAGGAGACAAGCTGAAGGGACAGGTCTAGGGCCAGCTAGCATCGTGGTTTAGGGGAGTATAACTCTGGGATTTTAGCTCCCTACACAAAATGAACACTTAACCCTTGCAGTGCAGGGGTAGCTCCACTGCAAGGGTTCAGATTTTATTTGCCCAGAGTTCTTCTTTGAAGATGGTGGTGTATAGGCCATTGACATCTACCCTTCGGTTCACACTTAACTACAGGCTGCCAGATGTAGAAAAACAGTGCAGATTGAACAGGGTTCACAAACCATAATGACGATCATGTGTTTTTAGGGCCATCGAGTTCCTGGGTCTGATGCATTAAGTGATGTGTGTGAAGAATTGTCTATGCTACGAAGTGAAAATGCATCACTGCGCCTTCGTGTGGCTGCACTACAAGAAGCCATCAGGGCTATAAATGCCCGTGTCACCCGCATGGCTGGCCAAGAAGCTGCAAGAGTTTTACAAAGGGCTGGTGAGAAATATTTTTATGTTTATTACTTTACTTTTTCCGTTTCAAGGGAATATGAATAATTCCCACATTGTTAAACTTTTATATGGAAAGTGCACTCTTGAATTATTATCAGAAAAATTTAAATCATGAGACCTATGAGGCAGTTCTAAGCCTGGCAGTAACATGAGAGAGTCATCTGACCTATGCAAAAATACCAGTCAAGGCTGAAGTCTCTTTTCAATATGAATGATCTTGTATTGTGCTTTAAGCACCATTCCTACACTGGCTCACACCCATTCTAAGCAAATGTATTGAACGTTGTTAGTTCTTTCATATACCAGTGGAAGAAACAATATTGATGCAGAAAAGACTTGCCACTACAATCCTCATTCACAAGTCCAGTTAACATAATGCTAAATCAGGCCCCATCCTTATCGTGTGCTGCAACACTCTGCTTTGACAAGACAGGTAGATGATTTTTAACAGACTTATTTATAAGAGCTGGTCAAGAGATCTTTTGTTTCAAAAGGGGAATGAAATAATGGTGTTACATACTTTTTTCTTTTTGGTCTCCTATATCAGGTGACAGTGATGAAGAGATACAAGCACTGATACAGAACTACATACATGAGATTGAAGAACTGAGGTAAATATGCATTTCTGAATAACATAGTGAGCATTCAGGTAAACCATTCATTTAGCAGCCCTATAAGCCGAGGGCTACACAGGCGATTAAATCTCTCTGCCACTGAGAGAGAAACCTGCATGTAGACAGTAGTCTTATTAATAGTATGTTGATTTTAGTGTGTTGCACATGAGATGACTGCCAACAAGCAGTTTAAATCTCTCTGCTTCTAATAAATAAATCACCAGTGTTGCTATAGTCTAAGGGCTCATTCAGATGAGCTCTGCATTTCCTAGGCAGCAATTATTAGATGGATCAGGCACAGAGGGGGTAATGTCAACAGACATTGGCATGCACAGGGAGGTGCTCCCATGCATTTTCTGCATGGTCTATTTTGTACTCACCCAGTATATTTCACTAAATATTAATTAATCCAAGAATAGTTTCTTCAGCTGCTTGAGGAGTGAAGAGCAGTGTGTTTCATTTCCATTTATCTGATTAAGCCCTGTAATATCAAGTGATAATAGCGAGTAATATTCCAAACTTGTAATATTGCCTTACCATTGTTTAATTCCTATGGTCCTTGTTATTGCATATTTAGATTTTCCAGCTTGTTGGGAAATCTTTCAGCAGGTGGTTCCGAACCGTCATCCATTGAGTGAAGGATGGAAGTAGAAGCAGTGAACCACTATAAATGATGGCTGCGAATTTAATCCAAATAGAGCTTATTTATCTGTTTGAGAATTGGGCATAGGTGAGCTGCAACTGCAAGCTCAGCTCATTGCTCATCTGAATGTGCCCTAAGGGTTATCTATAAAAAGGCCTAATAGCGCCTCATTTTAATAATTACTTGTGATTTTTTTTTCCATACTTTTTAATCAATAAAAAATTATTTTGGGGTATGCAATGTTTTTTTCTTTTACTAGCCCCCTTAGCTTGGGGAAACGTATCTCCTTCACCCACAGGGTCTAATACAGCTTAGCCAAGTCAGGTGCATTGGACTGCATAATTAGTGCTGACTTATAGTAAGTAACCAAAAGCTGTAAACATATTGTATTAAATACCTTAATATGATACAATACCATTATAAAGTTTCATCAGATTTGCCAATGTGTTATTTTTTTCACAGGACTCGTTTAGTGGAGAGTGAAGCTATGAATGAATCTTTGCGCCGCAATCTATCGAGGGCAAATGCACGCTGCATGAATGGGGGACCTACTGCCCCCACTCCATCACTGGAAGCCCAGGTGAACGATGTTGTCCGAAGAGCAAAGGAAGAAGTGCAGATCCTAAGAAAGAAAATGAGGTAACAGAACTTATCCTAATGGCTTATCCTAAGATATCAACATTATACGTAAAACTTCTCAATCTCCTTTCCTAACATTTAAAGCAGATGTTGTCATAAAATGTGCACATGGACTTAACAGAATATAACCCAATAGTGCAAATGTACGGTGCAAACATAGCACTGACAGTTTCAAATGCAGCACACATGCTGGGATTTGTAGTCTTCTCTAGCTGATGGTATTATTCTGCATTGCTGTATAATGTATCCCTGGGATTTGTAGTCCTCTCTAGCTGGTGGTATTATTATGCATCGTGACATGTATCACTGGGATTTGTAGTCATCTGTAGCTGATGGTATTATTCTACATTGCTATATAATGTATCACTGGGAACTGTAGTACTCTATAGCTGGCGGTATTCTGCATTGCTGTATAATGTATTGCTGGGATTTGTAGTCCCTCTACAGCTTGGAGTCAGCAGCAGAACTACCAGGGGCGTAGCGGTTGCAGCTGTGACTGGGCTACGGCACTTCACCACTGTCCTAAAATGATTAGTCTGTATTCTTTTAGAAAAACTGTCACATTACACACACAAAAAAAAAGGATCGGTAATTAGAATCAGCGTGTACTTCAGGAAAAGTAACGTTACTCGTGCTTGGTCAGGAAAAAATGGTATCGGTGCATCCCTGCTAATTTGACCTCCCATTAAAATATTATGTGCTGCGGCACTTATAAGGACCCTGCACTTACAGTTTTGCAGCTTCTTGTGATGGTGGGGGAACTATGCTTCACTGCTCCTAAATTCTGAGCAGTGTAATAAAAAAAAAGTTGCAAGGGGTTGTGGCTATTATGATTGTCAATGCTGATTCACAAGCCTGTGAATCAGTACCTTGCTATGGTTGCTGAAACTCTCCCACTGTGAGTTGCACACATAAGAGCACTTTCAGATGGGTGGCCTGATCAGGTCTGCTTCTCAGTTTTTCTGGTGAATCTGATCGGAAGCCCAATGCTTATGTTTGTCTTTGGATGTTCTTATATGTGTTTAATAGTTTAGCCCATTTTAGCTAATGAAGTGTTGACACTTTTTTGCTTCTTTCTATCCACAGCCCGGAAGTTAACAACTACAAAAAGAGAGAAAAACCCCAATTTGAAACCAGCGAAGAAACAGATGGAAATGAAGGAGAAGAGGTGAGGAATCTAGTACATCCTTCATAGTAGGGATGCACCAATACCAGTATCAGTGCAGATACTGGGCATTTTAATGAGTACTCGTATTCGTGAAAATGCCCAAATACTAAGCGCCGGTTCTTTAAATGTTTAAATACAAGCAGCTGCTGTAAAGTCCCACGTTTGCTAGGGACCTCATGGCTGCCATCTGGGGACCTAGCGGCACCTGTATACAGCGACGGCCGGGCCGCACATCTTCTCCTCTTCCTCCTTCCTGCCGCCCGCACAGCCATGGTGAGACGTGGCAGAGCACTGGGGAGTCCCGCACCCGTCCATGCAGCCCTGGTGAGAACCGAACCCGCCCGTACAGTCCTGGTGAGAATCGCAAACATCCATACAGCCCCAGTGAGACTTGCACCCTCCCGTACAGCCCTAGTGAGACCCCGCACAGCCCTGGTAATACCGTGCAAAAATCTGGTGAGACCCCGGACAGCCTCCTGAGGCCCTGATCAGACCCCACACAGCCCTGGTGAGCAACACAAAGTATGTAACTTCATATTATTCTGCATTACTGTATAATGTATTGCTGCAATTTGTAGTATTCTATAGCTGATGATATTCTGCATTGCTGTATAATGTATTGGTGGGTTATGTAGTCCTCTATAGCTGGTGGTATTTCTGCATTGCTATATAATGTATTTCTGGGATTGTAGTCCCTCTACAGCTTGGAGTCAGTGGCAGAACTACCAGGGGTAGTTGCAGCTGTGTCCAGGCCATGGCACTCCACCACTATCCTAAAACCATTATTCTGTATTGTTTTAGAAAAACTGTCACATGACAAGAAGTACTTCTTATAGGACAATACATTAACATTATTAGGTCTTGTTACTCAGACCTCTACATTGTGGTAACGAGTGGTAAAACAGGCAGTTTTGCACACATTACTGCAATGCACCGTAACACACAAGTCACAGTGTGGTGCTGTTCATTTTGAATAGCACCCCAACACACATCTACAATGGACCTGCATTTGCGAAACACCTGTGTGTGGTGTGTAGTTGTCTTAAAAGGTCTGTTGTGGCACTTTTACAGCCTATTCAAAATGATGCCTTACTGCAACATACAGTACATTAATGCATGGCATGATGCTGTAACACACTACAAAGGTCTACACCCGGCCTTAATACTGCAGCTATTTTGTTGTAGTTGTCATTGTTATTATTTGTAGTAGCAATAATATATGTTCTCCATTATTTCAGGAAGATGAACAAGAAGAAAGTGAGTGTGAAGAAGAAGAGGAGGAGAGTGAGGAAAGTGGAGAGAGCGAAGCCGGATCTGAATCTGAGCCCGAGGAGAAAGGTAAGAAAGTATAGCACAAATTAGGATATCATAATAACGTTCATGAAGATACTAAACCATCCCTGAAACACAATCTTCCAGGGACTCTTGGAGGAGATCTGGCAGACCTAACCTGTGAGATTGAGATTAAACAGCGCCTCATTGAAGAGCTGGAACAGAGTCAGCGTCGACTGCAGACGCTGAAACTTCAGTATGAGGAAAAGCTTCAACAGCTACACAACCGCATTCGTGACACCCAGCTGGAGAGGGACCGCGTGTTACGAGAGCTCAGTATGGGGTGTTTTCAAATACTCTCCATGTGTCCTTTTATTTCTCAGACTAAAATCTTTTCCATAGTTCATTTTACCTTATCAAACAGCATTCCCTTATCTTTGCTATCATTTCAGTGTTCATATACAGTATATTCTGCCATATTTGTTGTACGCCTAGTACATATTAAAGCCATTGACTCCACAGGCACTATGGAATGTTATACAGAAGAGAAAGCTAATAAGATCCGTGCCGATTATGAGAAACGATTGCGGGAGATGAACAGGGACCTGCAGAAACTGCAGCTAGCTCAGAGAGAACATGCACGACTCCTCAAGAACCAATCGCGCTATGAGCGCGAGTTACGTAAGCTACAGGGAGAGCTCAATGATATGAAGAAAGCCAAGGTGAGAATAAAGAGGAAAGGGTTAATGTATATGTTCACTGATTACAGGTGAAACTCGAATAATTAGAATATCGTGCAAAAGTAATTGCAGTAAATGCTGCAAAAGGGGCCCAAACCAAGTACTGAGTACATATGCATGCTTGTACTTTTCAGAGGTCCGATATTGTTCTATGTACAATCCTTTTTTTATTGATTGCATGTAATAATCTACTTTTTTGAGGTTGTGGATTTGGGGTTCTTGGGGTTTTCATGAGCTGTAAGCCATAATCATCACAATTATGACAAATCACGGCTTGAATTATCTTGCTTTGCATGTAATGAGTCTATCTCATATATTAGTTTCACCTTTTAAGTTGCATTAGTGACATAAATGAACTTTGCACGATGTTCTAATTATTCGAGTTTCACCTGTATACTTGAGACATGTACATCCTAGCAGTTGTATTTATGCTAAGTACCCGATATTGTTAAAATCACGTCTGGTTTTTATTAAGTCAAGAGTATTTTTGTTATTCTGAATTGTTCTCGTAGCCATTAAAGCCACTACCCTGTAGAAATAATGAATTGATCCGGGTTAGATTGTCCCCCGTCGCTCTTTCAGGCGGTACTAGTAAAGCAGATGCGTGAGGAGCAGCAGCGAAGAAAACTTGTGGAGTCGAAGAGGAACCGGGAGATTGCACAGCTTAAAAAGGAGCAACGTAGGCAAGAGGTGATATTAGGAGCGGGACATGCATGATGGGCTTTACACAAGTGAAATATAATTATTCTAAAGAGATGATGCCTAATTCCAGCTTATCTTTTATTTCCTCTTCAGCTTCAGATTAGAGCACTGGAGTCACAGAAAAGGCAGCAGGGAATAGTGTTAAGACGTAAGACTCAGGAGGTAAGTAACAAAGCACTGTTCTATGCACTCTTATCCCCCTAACCCTTCTAAACTGTGCATGTTTTGTACGACAGTCTATTTTTATCACATTCCCCATGAAGGGTGGAGCTCGAGCAAGAATGATTGAGAATTTGACTTGAAAAACCCCAAGAACAAATATTGTATTTTTTGCAGCTCAACCATCCTAAGATGTGATGGTTGCATTAGTTATCTTTTTCAGGCTAAGTACATTTTTTGCAAGTACAGAAAATGTAATCGTTACAGAAATCCAGTGTCCTTGTAACTTCCTCTGCACTGATCTGATAGCTTTCCCAGCTTATGTGGACTACATCCCCCCCCCCTCATGTAATAGAGATGAAGAGGTGGCATAGTGAGTAAGCGTTTTCACCCTAAGATAGGAAGTGTGTTACTGGCAGGATGATCAGGTGAGAAGAAACAAAAAAAGCCTGAAAAAATAAAACTATTGCAGGCACCACATCTATGGACTGCTAAGCTGCAAAAGGTTACATTTTTCTTTTTGGTTTTAGATGCCCTTCCGCCATGGAAATTGTGGTGAATATAATGAGGTCTCAACAGATCAGGGATTCAACTGCAAGCAACCGTTTTAAAATTGTGGATATGATTTCTTTCCAAACTTTATCTTTCAGTGTTAGAAATCCCGCAAAATGGTTTGCAGCACCGAGCTTTTGTTGCCAAAAGCACATTTAAATAAAACAGAGCACCTCATTTCTGTCTAGTACAATATCACAAGAGACAGAGCAGTCTCCAGCAGCTGTCCATCTACTAGCCCGGAGAAGGGAGAAGTGGGGAGCTGGGGGAGGGGAGTGGCTCGCCCTGCTATGTCTGTCTGTTTGTGGACACACACACAGCTTACTAGTGCACACAAGGGTGGCTCCATAAGAACCTTGCAAGGGAAAGGTGCCCCCCTAAAACAAGATATCAGGGCCAGTGCTGAGGGGACCAGCTAATTCTGCAGGAAACTTAAACTTTTAATCATCAAGGAGCGACATCTATTGTAAGTGATATTATCAGCATTTGCAATAGCTTAAAAACCTGTGCTGCTTAAAGTGATGTCTCAACATCACTTTAAGCAGCACAGAAGGCAATAATATTTACCAATTTATCAGTAAAAAAAGACATGCTGCCATTGCTCATCTGAAACACATTGAGGGTAATTTATCAAAACGGGAGCAGACAGAATCTGAAGCAGTTGCTCATGGCAACCAATCAGCTTATTGCTTCAGTTTGCTCAGGTAAGTCACAGTTTCTTACCTCAAATTATTAAATACCAAGGCAATCAGCCAATTACACTAGCCAATAACACAACAACGTTTTTGAGTCTGCACTTTGTACTTTGCCTTTGATATTTGCACTGCTTTATGAAAGAAGCCAAGGAAGTATTAAAGGAGAACTATGAGGTGAGTGCTTTTCACTCATCCTCATAGTTCTAGTCGACCTGTGACAATGAGACTGTCACACGTCGGCTCAGTAGGTTGGGAAGTGAGCGAACACATACCAGCGTTCGCTTACTTCTCGATCCTGTCACTGCAGAGAGCCGTGACAGGGGAGGGGCTGGATTCCCCCCTCCCCGCTCCGATCCTCCAGCGCTGACTGGTGGATCCAAAGGAAACCGTATTGTCAGAAAAGGATCTGCAATAGCAGTCCCAACATTTATATAATGATAGGTATATATATTATTAGATGCCCTTTCAGTTTCTTACGGTTTTCTCACACTTGTTTAAATTACTTTCAATAGCATTGGATAGCAGTGCTTTGGGTACAAAGTCATGTATACTGAATTTTGGGTGCAGTGATCTGCATTCAGAATTCAAATGAATTAAAATGCATACATTTTTGGTGTGAACACAGCCATACATACTGATTCAGTAGAAGCAAACCTGTCGTGCAGAGTGTTAGATTAACTAATTCGATTTTACAGGACCAAAGTCTTATGACAGAAAAATGAATTGCTTACTGTGGCATACTGCACTTTGCTTTATTGAATAAGCCGATTTGTGCTTAATGTGTAAAAGAACTGTAAATGCACCCTGTCAGCTGTCTGTGCTATTCTTTTGCTGAAAATGTTTCATTTGGTGGTCCAAAGTTCTTGATTTAGTCATCCGCTCTTTTTTCACCTTCCCAGGTATCTGCCCTTCGTCGTCTTTCTAGACCAGGCCAGGATCGATCCTCCAGTCGAATGTCCTCCTTTCCAGATTCTGGAGCTGAACTGTCCACAAGCACAACATCATCTGAGCCAGACATGTTGTCGCGCTCTGTGTCCAGCATTGTGCGCCAGTGGAACCGCAAAACTGTGGTGGAAACGGTGCCTGCAGCGAATGGGAGCAGGCCTGTGAGGTGAACTATCTACACTTGAATATGTTTGCATTAAACTAAACCACCTAATGCTCTTACATTAAAGCTGAACTCCAGTCAACAGCTAAATACACAGCTGAAATACATACATGGGAGCTGGTTGCTTGCCAAACAATTTCTGATTCTACTTCAGTCTTGGCATCTTTTCAGACAAAATCAGGCCAGTGACCTCACTGTTCTCAACTGTTCGCAGCTTAGTCAAGAATCAAATCAGCCTGCTGATAGGACAATGAACTTCTGGTGCTTTCCCTTAAAGTAAGGATATTGACCAGGTTAAACAAGCAGCATCTTAAGGTGCCCATACACCTTACAATTATCTGCAGATTTTCTGTGGTCAGATGGAAAAAGTGCAACAGATTGGCCCAGGTGGAGATTACTCCAGCCACACAGTTAAGTGTAGATGGAGGAATCTGTTGCACCTTTTCCATCTGACCACAGAAAATCTGCAGATAATTGTAAGGTGTATGGGCAGCTATAGAGTGTTGACCATTTTTTCCCAATATGATCTAGTTGCATTTAAAAATATGTTTAGTGATTTTAAATGAATACATAATTAGACTAAATTGTATATTTGTATATTTATACTGTATATGCTTGGAATTCATTTTTAAACTACAACAGAGAGGGGCAGGTTGTGAACACAATGACTGTGAGTGTTTAGCAGATGCCCTGCAACTCAGCAGTTATCTGTTATTTAATATTTATGTCATAATTACCCTCGCCAAATATTTACTAATAAAGCCACCCTGTCAGGTTAACCAAAAACACATATGAAAGTTTCCTACAATGGAAGAACTTGTATACTCACCTTTCCACTGGCTCTTTTCTACCTTCTCTCCATTCCAGCACTGCAGTCTCCGTCCATGTCTTTGGCAATTGGCACTTAGGGGAGTGTCAGATGCCTGTGCCCCCTGCCATGTCTCCGTCCATGTCTTTGGCATTTGACACTTAGGGGAGTGTCAGATGACTGTGCCCTCTGCCATGTCTCCGTCCATGTCTTTGGCAATTGACACTTAGGGGAGTGTTAGATGCCTGTGCCCCCTGCCATGTGCCATGGCTCCTTTATTAGCCTCTATGCCACCTCTGAATCCTGTAGTGATGTAAGCATCAGGGGATGGAAGCACTGCGCGTCGCGGTGGACACAGGCATCTGATACTTCTGGAAGTGTTGAATGGTGAAGACACTGATGGAGGCTGCAATGCTGGAACAGAGGAGAGGAAGGAGACTGGCCACCTGAGAGGCGAGTATAACAGCCCTTCTATTGCAGGGAACTTTCTTTTGGATTGATGGATTTAACCAGATAGGGTAGCCTTGAAATCACTGGTATGGTACAAAAATGCAAATGTCTTTTTCGTCCATTGAGGGACACAGGAAGTCTCAAAGCTTTTGGTTATACTGCTGCCTACCGAAAGTTTGGACACGGGCAGACCAAATAACTAGCCCAAGGTAACCCCTCCAAATAACAGCATGCCTCAGTTTTTTGCTAGTGTCCTAGGAGGATAAATAGGAATGCACCGATACTAGTATTGGTATTGGTGCCGATACAGAGTATTTGGGCGAATACTTGTATTACTCCAAATGCTCGAATGCCAAGCCCGATGCCCGAGCTTCTGGTATCAGGAAGCCGGGCAGCGAGTCATTACACGCTGCCAGGCTTCCTGATTGCCTGGGAAGCCGGCTCCATGCTCCCTCATCACTTGGCGATCGATGAGGGGAGGGGGGAATCCCTGCGGGGAGCGGTATATAGTAAACAGTAAAAAGTAACAGTAAAAACTGCTGCATATTAACAGTGCAATGAAATACAATTCATTATTATCGTATGCACCCCTATTGTATAGGCTCAGTAACATGATCAACATCTACATACATAAATATCATTCTAATAAAACTGACATGAAATTAACATAAAATTGGAACAATAGACAATTAAAATAGCTCTGTTCCAATTATGTGGATGACCCACTGTAATATAAAATCATATATACAATATAAATAACTGCTTTATATTTCTAAAAAAAGAGTTCAAATTGTGTTCAAGCATTACTGATAAAACAATTTAGATCAAACTCACTGCCTGGTACCAGAGTATTTGCTTTAAAAATCCAATCCAATCCAAAAATCCAATCGCCACACCAATGTCTATGCACTTTTTCTAATCCCCAAAAGGCACTTGGGGTCTTTACTATGGAAAATGGAGAAATGTTTGGAGACGTTATGTTCTTTATACCCTCTTTTTATATTATGTATATCAGGGCTCAAAATTTCCACTCGCCAGCTCGCATTTGGCGAGTGGAAATAAAGAGAGGGCGAGTGGAAATTCAGTCAGGCACGCGGTCACTGATCGCGTACCTGACTATGAGAGCAGCTGCTTCTTGCCGTCCTGTCCTGGCTCCGTTACTTTCGATCGATCACCGGAGCTAGATATATGATTCTTTCTGTATTGCTTTACTACAAAACTGAGGTATGATGTTAGTCGGAGTAGTTATCCTGTAATGTCCTACAGTTTTTCTGTTAGTGTCCCATCCTCCTGTAGGTAGCAGTATAACCTGAAGGTTTAACATTTCTTGTGTCCCTCACTGGCTTTCAAGAAAATTATTTTAAAGGGAGTACAGAAAGCCATTTTTTAAAATTTCACTTAGTTAATGACCACTAACGCTCAATATGGCTCTCTTTCATCTGCTGACAGGAGAAAAGTTGGACGCCCAGGCCTTCCACTTAGTAAAACTGCCCGCATGAAGTGGCAGACTTTGGAAAGAAGGGTTCATGAAGTTGTTTTACAAAGATTGACTCTCCTCAACCTAGAGAATGACATGGAAAGGCTCCTGAGAGTGAGTATAAATGTATTTAATAATTTTGTACATTTTGTTAAATGTTTTAGAATCTTTTTTTCCAAAGATAGTTAATACAATAGGTAATTACTTGAAGAAAGCGCAACTAATCATCAACTTTATAATGGATCAAAAGTTGAGTTGGTAAGGATCATAAAAAATTGTGAAAACTGCACCATAGAAAACTGCACCAGGAAGAGAGTTGACAAGGATTACTTACACTTAATTCAAGACATAGGACACATATAGATATATAGGGGTGTATTTATAAAACATTTGCTGAAACATTCATGATGCAAAGCTGCTTCTAAATTTGTTTTGTGCGAAAAACAAAAGGTTAGTATATTTATTTTCCAGGTTGGATGTAATATCATGAAAATATTGCACTATGGTCACTATATAAGCTGAGGAGCATAGGAAGGAAGTATTTATTTTCAGTGCTCTATCTAGTGGCCATATTGTGGTATTTTCCGAATATTACTTTCGGTTGGACTCTATATGGGTTGGACTTGATGAACGTATGTCTTTATTCAACCCCAAATACTATGTAACTTTTGAGCTGGAAGAAAATAGAATATTTCATGTTGCCTCCATCAACACAGAACAAATATATATGCAGTTTTGTGGTCAAATGTTCATGCAAATTTATTAAAAACATACCCCTTAATGTTAATATAACCATAAGCAGCTATTAACCCTTTGAAAGTATATGTAACTGTGTATGACAGATTATTTTTTTCATTGTTTGCCTCTTGGTAGTATCAGATTTTACATGTTTCGGATTTATTCCAGTTACATAGTATTTGAGGTTGAGTAAAGACACAGGTCCATCAAGTTCCACCTATTGCGTGTATGTATGTGATTCTGCATGTATATGTGTGTGTACGAGTCCCTGTGTGATCTAGTTTTTAAGGGTATCTTTACCCCTGAATGTTACAGTCTGAGGAAGTTGTCTAAACGCTTTTTGAATGATTCAATACTCTCCGCTGATACCACTGCTTGTGACAGCGAGTTCCAGACTTTAACCGCTCTAACTGAGAAGAAGCCCCTACGCCCCTTGTGGTTAAATCTTGTCTCCACCAATTTTAGGTGGTGGCCTCTAGTCTTTGTTATGGAGGTTACTGTAAAAAGTGTATTGCTGATGTTGCCATCACCATTGAACATCTTGTACATCAAAATGATGCCCCCTCTTAATCACCTTACTTCCAACGTGAACATGTTTAAATTTAGTAACCTTGTCTCATAGCTTTGGTCCTCCTTAATGAGTTTGGTTGCCCTCTGCTGGACTCTTTCCAGCTCAAGGACATCCTTTCTGTGGATTGGTGACCAAAACTGGACAGCATACTCCAAATGAGGCCGAACCAGCGATCCATAAATTGGCAAAATGATAGCTTTGTCTCTACAGTACATTCTTTTTTAATACAAGACAGTAATCTCCTCGCTTTGTTTGCCACAACCTGGCATTACAAGCTACTGTTCAACCTGTGGTCTACAATGACCCCCAAATATTTTTCCATTTCTGACTTCCCTAGTGGAGTTCCCATTAATGTGTATTCCACTTGCCTATTTTTAATCCCAAAGTGCATTACTTTGCATTTATTTATGTCACCCAACCTATTAAAACATTTGCTGAGATTTTCTAATATGTTTGTGTCTGCTGAGAACACCAGTTTACACTATCCACTAGGGATCTCCCGATGCCACTTTTTCAGACCCAAGTACAAGTACAAGTACATCCCCTCATGTACTTGCCGATACCAATTACCGATACTTTTTCTTAAAGGGACAGGTGACTTTAAATGATCCATAGTACAACTACATGTTATGTACTATGGATAATGGTTTAACCTATTCATGTTAGCAGCGGAGAATTGTAACTCTATTGCTGGAGTGTAGTGGAGGTGTGTGCTGTATATATGTACTACATATACATTACACACATCCAGTACACTATAGCAATAGATTTACAGCCAGCCCCGTCCCAGCTTCCCTTACTCACAGTTTCACTCCGATCCCTGTTGCCTCACGCGGTGCCTCTCGTAGTCGGTGCTGGGCAGGATCGCTGCATCGCATCTCGGTGCTCAGCTTGTGGGAGGCGCTCACAATTCTGCCCTGCTAACATGAATAGGTTAAATCATGATCCATAGTACATATACAGCACATACGTCCAACACTGCAGTAATAGAGTTACAATTATCCCCTGCTAACATGAATAGGTTAAATCATGATCCATAGTACATAACATGTAGTTGTACTACGGATCATTTAACCCATTCATGTTAGCAGGGGATTATTGTAAATCTATTGCTGCAATGTACGGGACATTTGTGCTGTATATGTACAGTACATATAGATATACAATTCTGCACTGCTAACATGAATGGGTTAAATGATCCATAGTACAGGGCTACATATCATGTACTACGGATCATTTAACCCATTCATATTAGCAGAGGATAATTGTAAATCTATTGTTCAGTGCATTCTATATGTAGTATATAGTACATGTACATATAGAGTGCCTGCAACAATACATTTACAATGATCCTCTGCTAACATGAATGGGTTAAATGATCCGTAGTACAGGGCTACATATCATGTACTACGGATCATTTAACCCATTCATATTAGCAGAGGATATTCCTGGCGTTCAATATCCCTGGAGTTCTTCTTTAAGTGTTGTTAAACATATTAAAAGTTAAGTCCACCAACAGCTGATATTTTGAGTATGTATGATAATCACCTACTGGCATCATACATTACTTGAGGGACCTCAGGGACAAGATCTAGCTGTTGGGTTTTACGGTAGGTGGTATGACTCTAAAGGTGCCCATACACCTTACAATTATCTGCAGATTTTCTGTGGTCAGATGGAAAAAGTGCAACAGATTGGCCCAGGTGGAGATTACTCCATCCACACAGTTAGTGTAGATGGAGGAATCTGTTGCACCTTTTCCATCTGAGATAATTGTAAGGTGTATGGCCAGCTTAACACTCCTGTAACTTTATATCCATGATAGCCATTGTACCGTGATCTGTAGCTCGGGGCCCATTATCCAAATCTGCTGATGTATCTCCATAAGGCTGGCCATACACGGCTCTATTTTTTTTTAGTTCAACCCACGGGCTGAACGAAAAAAAGTAGAACAGATTCCTCTATCAACTATGAGTGTTTTGATTGAGGAATCTCGCTGTTTGCATTGTGCACGAAGATTTTCCTGCCGGGTCCTTCGAGCTGAACAAAGGATACCAGCTAAAAGGGTGCCGACAGCGGCACATACTGTACGATTTTCGGCTGATTCTGAGCAATGTATGGGCACCCTTACATACATAAAAAAACTGTTGTTCTTTAACTTAAATGATCTGTACAGAAGACATACCATGTAATTTAGCATTTGTTTATGCCCATTTCTGATGTATATGAAAGAAGCTAACTGCAAGTAAGTTTCTATACACAATAAAACTGTAACCATCACAGTTTTGATGAATCTGTATTTCTACATTATTCTTTCTAGAAACGTGAGGAGCTATCACTTCTTCAGGAGGCCTTGCTGAGTCGTACAACCATTCCCCCAGAGGCAGGTAATGGAGAGGATCGAGCACAGCAGGATGTAGCAGAGGAACTGGAAGCCTTAGCAGCAAATATAGACTATATTAATGACAGCATTAGGGAATGCCAAGCCACCATTGTACAGATGGAAGAAACCAAGGTACCTCTAATCATAAAGACACGTCAGTCATTTTCAGGTTATAATTCTCTTCTATTTGTCAACCAAAGCGGTTATTCTGGAAAGATTCTTCTTATTCTCAGTGCAGAGGCACACATTTACCACAAACCACAACATTCTGTTCCATATTTATCATTATTATTATTTTATAATTATAATGATTTACTTGATCTTCATGCATGAGTAGTATAAAATAAATCACATATAGGTCAGCAGAAAAACAGAAACTTTGTATTTTGTCTTCTGTGTAATTTCATGCATTCCTTGGTTTTCATGCTCACAAGTGGAAATCCATCTTCTAAAGGAAAGTGCTTCCACCAACTATTATTCACACAGATTACTCCAAGAAATGCAAATCAAAATATCCTTACCCAAACCTATCATAAAGAGGTGGCAAAAATGTATGACAAGGATTTAAACTGAAATAGGCGAATGGACATGGCTCAGGATTTTAACAATCTGCACCTCCAGAATCTGCCCTCAGACTTGGA